CCCCAAAACCCCAAAACCCCAAAACCCCAAAACCCCAAAACCCCAAAACCCCACGTACTAAAAATAAAATTGAAATTAAATAATGAAATGGCAGATTAGATTAATCTGATTGGATGATTTGTTGCGTATCTTCATTTGTTAGAAATTATTATATTTCTGAATAAAAATTAACAAGGCCACTTCCTTTCTGTTAGCATATAATAGCAAGAGCATATCAGATTAGACTCATTCACCGTAAAATAAAGCTTATTCTATTTTAAAGTAACTATTAAAGATGTCAAGGATGATAAAATCAGTGAGGACTTCCTTGATTCGAATATTTCGGTGAATTTAAAGAAGGCTTAAGATCTCGGAAGACATAAAGGGTCTGCCTCAGCTGGGCTGTCATAAGATTGGGTCTTCACCCATTCTTGGTTACCAAGCAACAATGTGTCAATATGTTAATAATTTTTATTAGTATCACCTACACATGTAATAAAAAATAATTTATAAAGATACAGTCCCACCAGAGCAAGAAATTGTGTTGTTAAAAGTATAGAGAAATTAGTTAAGGATAGAGTCGAAGGAACTCTTATTTATCTTCTCCTTCAGCTCAATAATCTCCATATAATTATTCAGGAGAATTTCTCTTGTTTCGCTGTTATAATCGGTTGAAGTGGTCAAACTTTTCCTATCTCTTGATGATGAATATGAATCGCAGCTCACTTCTGTAGCTCTACTATCTATTCTCTTTCTTAGATCCTCCATATTGTTCAGGAAAAGGCAATAATCATCACTAGTATCAAGGTTATTGATAGTGGAGTCAGTTATGGCTTGTCCAAGGGATAGAAGAATGCTTTCAAATTCTGCAGAGTTATTTTCGATTATTTCTTCTCCCAATTTAGCACCATGCATTTTTGATTTATAAGGACTCTCATCACCCATATCATACTCTTGAGTATCAGCATTAATCTGCAAGCTTTTGTCTATGTGAGGGATAAAATCAGCAAGATCATCTGTAAAGTAATCATCTTCATGCTCAATTTCAAAGCTAGCATCTTCTTCCTCCTTGATGATTTCTTCATTCTCTCTGAAACTATTAAGTTTATAAGGCATAGAGATGCCGTCATCTAATTTTACAAAAGAATCCTCAACCTCTTGAGACTGTTTATTGTCTCCATCGAAGCTGAGTGTAAATTTTCTGTGAGTCTTGTTGCCTCTAAGATTTCTGGTTGTCATATTATTCATATAATTTGGATCACTTGCATCAATCGAAGTTCTAAACTCTCTCAAACCTCTAAATGCTGGACCCTGGTTAGATTTTGGTGATGACAAAGCATCTGAAGCCTTCTTTGAAGACTCTCTGAAAGGGTTAAACTCATCGTCCTCGAAATCATCATGGAAACTTTCCTTTTTCTTCGGCTTAGGTTCATCTTGTCTATCGAAATATGCTTCATTAATAACCAAGTTATCAATATATGCTGGTGAGACTACGTTCTTAAATTCAAATTGCTTTTTCTCGAACACTTCAGGGTTTTTCTCATTTTCATAAAGCTTTAGCTTAGTCAGCATATTCTTGACTCTCGATCAGGCAGTGGTATCTGAGTTGATCCTCTTCCTCTGTGGATCAGCATATTTTAAAGAAGGAACATCTTTTATTTTCGAGGAAGGATTCTTATTGTTGAATAAAGCTACTGAGTCAAAATTATAATCATCGTCATCGTTTACTCCAGAAGAAGACTTTTGAGGGTTCACTTTTGTGTCCTGATGAGAAAGATCTTTACCGTCTTCCTTAAGATCAACAAAGTGATCAGAAGTGGTGATAAGTACAAAATCATCAGAATCATCAAGAGCAACATACTCTTCTTCTTTTGAGTCTTCAGAGGAATCTCGCGATTTTGAGTGATTACTAAAACCATGCTTAATTTTACTTTCTTCAATGTTAGAATATGCAGGATCAAAGTTCTTGAGCAGATACTGATTGATTTTAGCCAATGATTTTATTGTTATATACTCAATTTCATACTTAATGGAGCCAAAACCGATATCAAATTTAAATTCAGTCGATTTTGTTTTTGATTTGACTCCAGAGATTCCTCACTTTGATGTAGTTTTCTCGACCGGAGAAGTAGATGAGGTGGGGTCCGACCTAAGTTGGTAATGAAGAATGTGCTCAAGCTCTCCAAGTCTCTTCCCAATCTTATTTACAAACTCTGAACTTGGTAGTTCCTTCACCTTAGAACTAATGTTCCCCAAGATTTTTGAATAGCAGTTGATTAGTCTTTTGTCGTCATCTGTATAGTCTTCGTTGATTAACAGTGAAATATTCCATGTTTCTATAGTTTTTATATCACCTCGATTGTCTCAGTCTTTGCTTGATTCTCCTCTCGGGCTAACTTTCGCACTTAATGGTGAGACGTAAAAACTGAGTGCCAGAGAATTAACTTCACCTATTTTGTTAAAGTCTGGGAAAGTCTTGAGATCCCTCTTTAATCCAAATTTTCCAAAGAATTTATTTCCTCCAAGGGTAATTTAGTGGGTTATCAATGCTGTTTGGTCCACTAGCCATTTCTGGAAATCTAGCTTCTAGTAATAACTCAGCTGATCGAATTATAAGCTGTTTTGTCAACGTGCGCCATTGATTGATGCTTCCTCTTAAGTCCATCTTAATTTTATTAGTATGAAATTATCAAGTTTCAAATATTATTGACAGCCTCGGGGTTTTGGGGTTTTGGGGTTTTGGGGTTTTGGGGTTTTGGGG